ATGTAGACACTGCTGACCTAGAACTTGCTGTATAGACCAGGCTGTCCTCAAACTCAGAGATTTGCCTACCTCTGCCTGAATGCTGGAATTAAAGACACATGCCACCACATATGAGCAATTATGCTCTCCTTGAAACAAGATTTTTCAAAGCAGCCAAGGCTGACCACGAACTCAGTCTTCCTACGTCTGCCCTTTCAGTGCTGGGGTTGCACCATGCCTGACTCTGTGTGGAGTGTCTTCACTGAACTGTCCTGGCTCCAGGCTGTGCTGCTTGAGTGTAGCCGTCTCTCCTTCCCATTCCCCCTTGCAGCTACTGTCTTGGGTCAGATGGTCTTAATGGTCTGTTTCTTCCTTACATGACTTAGAACCCTGAGGAGACGCCTCTCTGTGTGCTTACCAGTGCCTCTGTTCCTGTTCTTTCAGGGTGGATCTCCTAATGCTATTCTTTTTGTTGTTGTTGTTGTTGTTTTTTGAGACAGGGTTTCTCTGTGTAGCTTTGGAGCCTATCCTGGCACTCGCTCTGGAGACCAGGCTGGCCTTGAACTCACACACCTGCCTCGACCTCCCGAGTGCTGGGATTAAAGGCATGCGCCACCACCGCCCGGCCCTAATGCTATTCTTAAACTCGTCCTTTGTGTGGATGTGTAAGAGTTAAAAATATTTACAGCTTTTAGCTTGAGAAGTTTCAAATGTAAACCTATATACCTAGACAGAAGGCAGGCAGAAGGCCAGGACTGCACCAAGCAAGGTCTGTGTTCCAGAGTAGGAACACATGATTCTGGAGAGATGGCTCAGTGGTGAAGAGCAGTTAGCAGAGGACCAGAGCTCTCTTGGTTCCCAGCACACAAATGTGGTGGCTCACAACACCTGTAACTTCAACTGGGGGTGGCCTCTTAGGACAACTGATGTCACTTATCCCCATATAGACATAATTAAAGAAAATATTAAAAATAAAAACAATGAGCTGGGCGGTGGTGGCGCACGCTTTTAATCCTAGCACTCGGGAGGCACAGGCAGGTGGATCTCTGTGAGTTCGAGACCAACCTGGTCTACAAGAGCTAGTTCCAGGACAGTCTTCAAAGCCACAGAGAAACCCTGTCTCGAAAAACCAAAATAATAAATAAATAAATAAATAAATAAACAACAACAACAACAAAAAAAAACCAATGAGAAAACTATGAACATGGTAGTGTCAGTTAAGACTCAGCCCAGGCCTGGCGTTGGTGGCACAAACCTTTAATCCCAGCACTTGGGAAGCAGAGGCAGGTGGATCTTTGAGTTTGAGGCCAGCCTGATCTACATAGTGAGTTCCAAGACAGCCTCCAAAGCTACACAGAGAAACCCTATCTCAAAAAACAAAAAAGACAAAAGAAGACTGAGCCCAGGTGTCAGTGGCTGGAATGTTGTGCAAGTTACCTTGTTGTGCAGTTGTTTTGTAGGTGTGGGATGTGCGCCAGAGTTGGTTGCTACAGTCGTGCTATTTATTTATGGCTCCCACACCAGCCTCTTGCTGTCCTTACTTGTTCAGTGTCATGAAAGAATTCATATGGCACACCTGCAATGTCGAAGTGCCTATGCGTTCTGTGGGCTGGAGACTAGCAGTGCCCCAGATGGAAGCTGAGGCTGTGGAGGACACTGGTGACTTCCTAAGGGTGGTACTGTCTCAGTAGAGAGGGCCCAAGGGGAGGGAGCTTCCTGTTAGGATAAGAACACCTCTCACTTCTGTGTGACGGGGCTGGTGCCGCTTAGCTCACTCAGTGGCCTCCCAGGCTAACATCAGGTCTGTTTGGGACAGATGTGTCTGTTGTTACCAGAGGTGACAAATGCTAACTTTCTTCTTAGCTGTCCATCAACGGCTATGACTACAACTGCCATGTGGAGCTGATCAGGCTGCTGCGGCTGGAAGGGGAGCTCAACAAAGTGAGGATGGCCCGACAGAAGATGAGCGAGCTCTTCCCCTTGACTGAAGGTAACGCTGCCCCGGGGGTGGGGGTGAGGGGCTGCTTTTGGTTCAGAGAGCTGAGGTGAAGGAGATAAAGGAAGCCAGCTGCTTCTCATTTCATTGCCTTAGACAGTGTTCTGTGCTGCAGATTCACATGTGGAACATTATGAGAAACAGTTTCTTTAACGTAATTTAACTTCACTGTGGTCACTGTCCCATTCCACAGATGTGTACTTAGCCTATGCTCATAGTGCTATGGAATTGTAAATTTAGGTAAACATTTATAGTTTTAAAATCTCTTTTTAAAAATCTTTATGTGTATGGGTGTTTTTGCCTGCATATATGTGTATGTGCACCAGGTGGCCAGAAGAGGGAGCCAGATGCCCTGGAACTGGAGTTCTAGACAGTTGTGAGCCACTGTGTGGGTGCTGGGAATCAAACCTGGGTCCTGTGGAAGAGCATCCAGTGCTCTTAACCACTGAGCCATCTTTACAGACTCTAAACTGAAATAGTTTTAAATGCAGTTGTTTCATTTTGGTACAGTAATTGTACATTTTGTTTACTTCCACGCATTTGCTTCTGAGAAATATACTTGTAGGAATTGGCTCTGTGACTGGGTCTTTTTTTTTTGTTTTTTTTGAGACAGGGTTTCTCTGTGGCTTTGG